ACATTTATAAAATGACAATAATGCGGTTTTTGTGATGTACTGTAAGTAAAGATTATAACAAATGTTTGTTTTGATTTCCTTTTACACACACACACATGGGAATAGCATTATTATATACTGCAGAGAAAATTAGTATATTAAAAGGACCAATTATAAGAGGTAGCAAATGAATAATGTTTTGCTTATTAAAATGAAAAGGTTTATTTGTTAAGTTCTCTATTATTTCATTTGTTAACGAATTTGGTCATTGGTAATGTGCGAGATCTGTTTATGAAAATGTTCCTGTGTAATTCATTATATCTATCTACGACTCTCAACATGGGTTTGCAAAGGGAAAATCTTGTCTAACAAATCTGCTGACGTTTTTTAGGAAAGTCTTCGAGGTAGTAGATAATGACGAAAATTACGATGTTATTTACTTATACTTTAGCAAAGCATTTGACAGAGTACCGCATCAGAGGCTTCTGAGAAAAATTAAGGCTCATGGTATCGAGAAGAAAGTTTTAAATTGGATAAAATCATGGCTCACCGATAGAACGCAGACGGTCAGCGTAGATGGTGTTAAATCTGAGTGGGGCCGTGTAACCAGTGGGGTTCCCCAAGGGTCAGTACTAGGCCCACTCTTGTTCATAATCTACATAAACGATCTAGATACTAGGATCAGCAGTGACATAAGCAAGTTTGCGGATGACACCAAAATAGGGCGGCAGATTAATTCAGGGCAGGATGCAAATGCATTACAGGAGGATCTAAATAAACTGCAGAGGTGGTCTGAAAAATGGCAAATGAAATTCACCACCAGCAAGTGCAGCGTACTTAATATTGGAAGAACAAATACTGACAATTTATACAGCCTTAACAACATCAACCTAGAGAAGTCGACTTGTGAAAGAGACCTAGGGGTACTTGTAAGCCCGAACCTACGGCCTAGAAAACAGTGCGTTAATGTTCGAAATAAGGCAAACAGAGTATTGGGTTTTATATCTATATGTGTAAGTAATAAGAGTGCAGAGGTCTTATTGCAACTATATCTTGCGCTAGTCAGGCCGCACCTCGATTATGCGGTTTAGTTCTGGTGCCCTTATTATAGAATGGACATCAATTCACTAGAGTCGGTGCAGCGAAGAATGACGAAAATGATTCCGGGACTTATAAACCTTAACTTGCATTCACTAGAAAGACGAAGAGTGCGGGGAGATATGATAGAAGTGTTTAAGTGGGTGAAAGGAATCAATAAAGGGGATATAGATAAAGTTCTTATAATATCCGAGCAGGATAGGACTCGTAGCAACGGATTTAAGTTGGATAAGTTTAGGTTTAGGAGGGAGATAGGAAGGAACTGGTTCACAAATAGGGTGGTGGAAGAGTGGAACAAGCTTAGAAACTTTGTAGTAAGTGCTGGAACTCTGGAAAGTTTCAAAAGGAGGCTAGATAGATTCATGGATGATAGAGAGTGGTAGTAACTCTCGACAGGAGCTGCCATGCACAGGCCAACCAGCCTATTGCAAACACCTTATTTTCTTATGTTATCAGTCATGTAACATGCTCTACGTAAATAAAGGCTGAGTGCCAACAGTATTGACAAGACACGTACCACTATTTTCCTGTATTATACTGATATACACACAAATTATATATATATATATATATATATATACATATATATATATATATATATATATATATATATATATATATATATATATATATATATATATATATATATATATATATATATATATATATATATATATATGCTGATAACCACAAGGAAAGAAGAAAACACGAAGTTCCCAAGCGCTTTCGTGTAATTCACATCTTCAGGGGTGAGTACAGACTAGAGAGAGTAATACAAATCAAGGTGTATATATACAGAGGAGGGTGAGACCAGGTCCACAATGGTCAGGTATTAGGTAATGACCTTACTAATCTTTAAATAGCACACAACGGTTGGTGGTCAGGTCAGATGGTCAAGTGACCCGGCCTTCTCACCTGATCACAAATCTTCTTAATTACAAAATTGTCCAGCTTGTACATGCCGTTACTCAAATTCATAGATTCCCTGGATAACATTTCACTACCCGTCTCGAAAGACGACTTCATCGAACTCATCAAACTATGTATTAAGGATTGCAAATTCGAATTCAATGGGGAATATTATGCTCAAAAATTTGGTATGGCAATGGGTAATCCACTCTCACCTGTATTAAGCAACCTATATATGGAATTCTTTGAAAAGAAACTATTAAGTAATATTTTACCACCCTCAGCAGTCTGGTTTAGATATGTTGATGATGTATTATGTCTCTGGCCATGTAATGAGGACCTAAAAGCTTTCCTACCACAACTTAACAACTTAGCCCCCTCGATCAAATTCACTGTGGAATTAGAGCAAGACTGTAAATTGCCATTCCTAGACTGTCTGATACACAGAATAGGTAACACTTTTAAGTTCAGTATTTATAGAAAACCAACTAATGTGTGTTCAGACATTCATTATTATTCTGCCCACCATAATAAAGTCAAACAGTCAGTATTTTCAACAATGTTTTTACGTGCCTTGAGAATTTGCAGTCCGGAATTCATCGATGAGGAATACAAATATATATATATAATATTGGCTCAAACCTTAAATACCCAAGATCTTTCATAGACAAATGCTTAAACATTACTAAGAAAACTTTTTATAGAACTGACCCCAAGCCCACCCATGACCATAAGAATATCTTAATATTACCATTTCACAAAAATTTCTCACACATTCCTGCACAGCTAAAAACCTGGAACGTCAATGTGGCATTTAAAAACTCATGCACTGTTAAACAAATGTTAATCAAGAACTCCCCCAACAACACAATTGGTTGCATTTATAAAGTTCCTTGCAAGGAATGTAATATGTTTTACTTAGGCCAGACAGGTAAAGATCTTGCAACTAGAATTAAACAACACAAATACAGTGTTAGGACAGGCCAGGAATCCAATGCTCTGTTTGTTCATTTGAGGGATAACAAGCATTGCATTGACTGGGATAATGCCTCCTCAATATTACCATGTAATTCAATTGATAGTAGGAACATCATAGAATCTAGTCTTATTAAACATACCGAAGCATTCAACATGAATTTGAGTAACGGCATGTACAAGCTGGACAATTTTGTAATTAAGAAGATTTGTGATCAGGTGAGAAGGCCGGGTCACTTGACCATCTGACCTGACCACCAACCGTTGTGTGCTATTTAAAGATTAGTAAGGTCATTACCTAATACCTGACCATTGTGGACCTGGTCTCACCCTCCTCTGTATATATACACCTTGATTTGTATTACTCTCTCTAGTCTGTACTCACCCCTGAAGATGTGAATTACACGAAAGCGCTTGGGAACTTCGTGTTTTCTTCTTTCCTTGTGGTTATCAGCATATATATATATATATATATATATATATATATATATATATATATATATATATATATATATATATATATATATATATATATATATATATATATATATATATATATATATATATATATATATATATATATATATATATATCATGTAGATCCACAATGAAAACGTGGATAAGATAAATCTTTATTCAAGACATCTTCAGAGGCAACTGGATTACATGGACAGAGAGAGGCTTAAATATACAGGGTGACCTTAAAAACATGAGGTCAGGTCGTAATGATGTCATCCACTAATCCCCACACTAACACACACGTAGAGGAGCTTAAGAGAAGGGGGGTGACGTGACTAGTCAGGTCAGGTAAAAAATAAGGGACCCACTAAATAACTATCATACATCTAGATCAAAGGTTTTCAAAGCATTTTTAGCCTTGGGCCACTGACAAATAAATTTATGTAACATATTATCAGTTTTGAACTGACCATCACTAAGGTTTATTGATTTTAATTCCTTAATGAAACTAGCTTCAACCAGAAGTCTTTCTGTGACACAAGATGATTTAAATACTTCTAAGCTTTTTTCCCAAGCAATGGGATGATTATTATTCCTAACATGAACGAACAAGGCACTGCTTCCAGATGCTGTTCTGATATTGTACTTATGTTGTTTGATTCTGAGCTGCAGTGTTTTTCCTGTCTGTCCTACATAATTACAATTACATTTGCTACATGGAATACATTAAACACTTCCATTTACATTCAAACTTTGGCTATTTCTTATTAACATATTGGTAATGGTTGAGTCATACTTGAAAACAACATTAATATTTAGTAGCTTGAGGGACCGAACTAACGGGACAAATTCATTACGATAGGGCAGAGTCGAAATATTCTTAAGTGTAGGAACTTGTCTGGTTTGAGAGGAATGAAAGGATTTTTTAACCCTTTTGAAACAACGATCAACAAACACACAAGGGTACCCGAGTTTCTGTGCAGTGGAACGAATGTGTTTCAATTCATCGTCAATAACTTCAGAGTCACAAATAAGCAGACATCTTAAGAACATAGCAGAAAAAACTGACATTTTGGTAGACTCCAGGTGATTCGATAAAAAGTGTATGAAACTGTCTACCTGTGTGGGCTTTCTGTATACTTTAAATTTGTAGTTTTGGCCATTTTTCATGATAAGCATATCAAGGAATGGAAGGGATCCATTTATTTCTCTTTCAATTTTGAATGTGATACTAGGAACAATATCATTAAGCTTGTCTAAAAATTCCAATGGGTCACTGTTTCTAGGCCAAAGACAAAGAACATCATCTACATATCTATACCATGGAGGAATAAAGTCTACTATATTGGGTAGTAATCTAGACTCAAAAAACTCCATATAAATACAGGCTAGAGGAGCAGAAAGACAATTACCCATGCTCATGCCAAATATTTGTTTGTAGAACTTCCCATTTGCTCTAAACACATTGATGTAAATTCACTGTTCACTAGAGTACCTGTGAAAGACCTACTTTCATTTCTTAAAGATAAATTACAACTGTTAGATGAATAGCATCATTACTATTCTCAATAAAGTAACCTGATTTTCTTCACTTTTTAGTTCGGGTTAAATTTGCTGAGATGACAGCAGCTGTGGCGGCATTGGTGCTTTTCTTAGCTGCTATTGACTGTCAGGTTCTGGCAAGGCTTCCTCGGCCAGTCAGTAAGTTTTCCCATAAGATTCCCGTGCACTATTGTTTGGTCCTTATCGAGCTGTGTCAGTGATATATTTTGTTTGTGTCTACATGAAAGTATTAGCATTTAGTGGGTTTTATGAGGTGGTGTTTTTGGGCGGGAAATTTATTTTGTCCAATCTGTGTTTCAATATATATTAGGGTCTTCAGAGTCCTCATTGTGTATCAGTGTATTACTTATCTCTTTTGGTGTAAAGTCTTGAATTATGTTATTTTTTATTTGTATTTTTTTGTGAAGTTTGACCCTAACTATATTTTCTCAGTGGAACGAGAATCACTGTACCTGGCTGCTGGAGCAGTAGAGGCTGTGTTGTCCAAGGTACGACATGATAATACCTCCGTCCTCGTGCTCACAGATCGCAATACGTCACCTTCTACGGTCTTCCTGGTGGGTTAAAAGTTTCTTACGATCTCAAAACTTCCCTGTGGAAATAAACACCCCAGTTTATTTTTTCTTATAAGATTGAAACAATCAGTACACTGTTTATAAGAAAGACTCCACCTACAGGCAGGGAACTAACCAGTAAACACTTAAACTTAATAAGAGGGTCAAAGAAAACTAAAGGACTATTACAAACTTTTTCTTGTCGGGTGCCTGTTTCATTGACTGTTGAGTAAATATTTATTCAGGAAGCGAAATCCATTAAAAAGTCACTAGAAGGACAAACAACAACTTGGCATGAAAACAAACAAACAATTCAATGGTCCTAATATGTTTGTTTTCTTTCAGATGAGAGCTGGACTCTTCGCCCCCTGGGGAATGGGAGTGTTTGAAATGATAACACATAATCAAGACACGAACGAAACCTTACCTCAGATTACTCAGGTGATCAGCGAGGCTCGTCGGGTAGGTAATGTTTGCATCAATACATAAAAAAGGATATTTGTCTAATTTGAGGCAGGTAAATAATATTTCGAGTTACTGCTACAGTGATTACGCATTTATAACAAATTGTCCACTTTAATCGACCATTGGCATTATCATCAATGGAGTAAGTTCACTTTCGAACACAACTCATGCTTGAACAGCTGCGGCAAGTGTCATGGAGTCTGACGGTGGTGGTGGTGAGCGACGACCCAGCCTTCCTCGCCGCCTTCGCCGAGTGGTCCCTCAAGGGCCGCCTCCTGGTGTGGCCGACGAGGCTCCTCGCCGTCACTCACCTGCCCCTCTCGGAACTCCAACATCTTTATGGAATGTTTTCAAAGACGAACTCCCTGGTGCTTACTGTGGACAACACCATAGCTTCCATTAGGTAATCATCAGTTTGCAATTGTCCCTTCAATTTCCGTATATTATTACCAAGTTTAGGATACAATTTGATTACGATTTTATCAGTATTGTTCATATTGAACTGTTCCATAACAGGTATAATGTGTACATGCACGTGCCATTCACTCCTCGGGAAGACCAAGTACTTCGTGTTGCATCGTGGACTCCTGAGAAAGGTCTTACCATCAACAGTCATTCGACACTTTTTGAGGAAAAATTTTCCAAGTAAGATTTTTATCCGATTGAGTGAAACTTCTAATTACAATTATATAATTTCGTAAAAAGTGAATGTTTTTAAATGTTTCTTATAAATTTATCAGATCCATTTGTTATACCACTAATCATACCTGTACTGTATCTAAGAAAACTGGTATACTTCAATATGGTAAATAAATCTGAAATTTATATGATGGCATCTATCTATTTGTTACTACCATATCAATCCAGTAATAATCGACGTGATTTTTGCTGAACCTGGACGTTTTGGATAACCAGTTCTATATTTCAAAGTCGTCTTTATATAATTAAGTATCTGCAGGAAAAATTCCTCTCAATTCCCACATGGGTAGTTCGGGTTTTTTCTAGGTCAAATAGCCTATATGACCTCTCATAAGCAGGAACAACACTTAGTCATTTTATGGCGCAGAAAAACAGCTAACTGTTTGTGTATGTCAATCAAATTGACATGTTTTGAGATTAATCCAAGACAACAAAGCAAATGTTGCCGTTTATATCTCCAAGGCTCTCAGAGTTTATGTCAGTGTTTAGGAGAACCAATGCAAAATGGGGAATTTGCTGTAAGGAGGTACAAAAGCTTGTATGTTTTGGAGTGGGACATGGCCAGACATGACCATAGAACAACACTTAATGAGGTAAGGGAACACCACAGGTGGACTCCTCAATATTACCCACAGACTCTGCAAGAAACATATGGCTACTCACTGCACATGTTGTAGCTACAGTATGTACACTAATGCCCTGCACTGTCTTACCGGTAAGTTTACTTGGTCGTGGTCAGTACAGCATAAAGAGATGCACTCATGAAGCATTCAGAAGAATGCTGAAGTCATGAAAACCTTCAAGGTATTCCTTGTAAATAACAGTTCTTTCAGAGCTGGTGAAGATGGTAAAATGAGAAAAATTGCTGATGAGCTGTTCAATGTGGATAATGCCCTGAAAACTGGAACTGATATCTAAGATAAACTGAGTGGGAAGAAATTTGAATATGTGAAGTGTTATGATACAGAGCGAGTTTTTAACCCGCCCCTCCCTAAAAAATTCTTCAACCTGTTTAATAAGGAAAATTACCTTGCAAGTTCAAACTTACTATTTATTTACAAAAGTAACTAAAGCTGATGACGGAATATTATACAAAATATATACAACAAAAGAATTCAGAAAAATCAAGTAAAAATAAATGAACATTAAATCCTAACCATCACACTATAATATATAATCACTAAATCTTAATCATCACCATATAAAATACAATAAGCAATAAGAGTTCACTAACACTCCATACTTATGGTTTAGGAGACAAGAGACCAGATGTTCACTTCACAGCCTATACTCAGTAACTGACTGGAGCACACCAGATTTTCCTCCTCCCGACCAGGACCAATCACAGGGCTCCACATACTACGGTACTGAGACCAGCCAGTTATACCCCAGGCTGACTGATGGCCAGCGCCATCTTGTCACCATAGTCTTCCCTACACAAACTG